ATTTTGCCATGTATAATACATGAATAATACATGGAATAATACACATGTATTATACATATGTATTATTGCCCCCATCCTTAAACATTAATGTTCATTAAAATTTTACAAAAGCATATTTACAAAATTTTTAATTTCTAATTCAATATTTTATTACTTATTTACTATTACTAAATTACTAAATAAATTATATGTGAATTAATAACATAAAATCTAAAGTTTAGATTCTAAACTATATTTACCATCTTTTTAATAAATAAACGTTTATATTATTTGTAGTTGTTATAAATTGTTTGCAAATTATTATTTTATATGACCGGAAATTAAAATTTTTGTATTTTAATTTAAACATAACATGAATTGAATACAATTCATGGTAAAAATGGATGCATATTATAAAATGACCAATATAAAAAGTTTGATAGAGTTTAAAAACATGTTTGCCGTTCGCTGTTAACCAAAAAGTTTAGTTCACATTCAGTAGACCTGACTCTCGGCGCAAACGGCTATCAAATGTACAAAAGAGACCAAATGTGGTGTCAGTTGTGGTCATCACTGATAGTCATATCGATGCGAGAGTTGTCTTCAATCGCGAGTTTAATTCAAATCAATGTTTACTAATAAACACTCATTTATCCAAAACATGTTTCAACTTAAATTGAATTCATTAAAACATTTATGCATTTATTAGTCAATTCTGCACAAAATCTTCATAACTTTATTTTCACAATTGTTTTACTTTTAATAAATATATTTTTGAATAATTTTAATAAATATATAATTATTGATTTTTTAATGGATTAGTTACTAATTATTTACTAATTAATAATTTAATTAGTAATTAGTTACTGATCAGTAATCATTAGTAATTAGTATTAATTGATCTCAACTTTGAGTCTATAAGTAATGAATTAGAGTTCAAACTGTGAATACTGTAAGAAATAGTGTAAAAAGGGTTCAAAAATAAGTGCAAAACTAATTGCAAACAAACTGTAAATGAAATGCATTTCCAGTCAAACAGACGATCGTTTTTGGGCTCAAAATCTAGTATTGAAAGTCATTTGAAAGACATCACCAAAAGACACATCCATTTGGTTATCAGTCATAACCACTAAACACATCAACACTTCATTAATCATATAATCAATTGATAGCAAAAGTTTAGTCATTGTTTCGTTGATGTATTGATTGAGACATAAATTGATTGCAATTTATTATAATTTCCTATATTTTAGCCCAAAATGAGCGCCATTTCTGACAACAGGTCTGTATTTGTGACCGATTTGGCCGAAGAGGTGACCGAAACGGCGCTATTGAATGCGTTCAACACATGCGGACCAATACGATCGGTGCGGATCTGTCGCCACTCCGACGACCGCCGAAGTCTGGGCTACGGATACGTGAACTTCTTGACCGCTTCGGACGCCCGACAAGCCGTCCATAAACTGAATTTCGCCCAAATCTGCGGACAAACAGTGAAAGTAATGGCCGCCCAATCGGATCGCACGCAACGGGTCTCAAACAATGCCAACGTCTTCATCAAGAATTTGGACAAATCTATTGATACCAAACGATTGTATGAGTTATTCATACCTTTCGGACCCATTATGTCCTTTAAATTGGCTCAAGAAGTGAATGGTTTGAGTAAAGGCTTTGGTTTCGTTCAGTACGAGTCGGAAGAGAGTGCCGTCAAAGCCATCGCCGCTATGAATGGCAAACAATTGGAGTCAAAGTCGATCTTCTGCTCGAAATTTCTGTCCAGAAGTGAAAGAAGCAAACATTTGGTGATTGAAAGCGACAATAAAACCACTCATTTATATGTCAAGAATTTAAGCGATGACTTCGATGACAATCGTTTGGCGAAGTATTTCCAGACACTCATTGGTTCCGTCACTTCAGCCAAAGTATACCGAAAGAGCGGAAAAACGTTTGGATTTGTGTCAGTGGAGGACTCGGATGTCGCTAATACTGCCATCAAAGCACTCGATGGCCAACATCTGGCCAATGGAAACACTCTTAGATTAACTCGTGTCCGAAAAGTGGCCGAAAGCCTACCGACGGACAGACCGACGGCGCGAAACCGTTTGGACGGATATAATGTTTACGTAAGATATTTGGATAATTGTTTCACCGAAAAGCGGTTGAGAGAAATGTTTGCAAAGTTTGGAGCCATCGCTTCGGCCAAAGTATTCGCCGAATCGAGCGAATGGTCTCTTCGCACGAATCAACAGAACAGAAATTATGGTCTATTGTATGGATTCGTGTTATTCACGACTCCAGAAGCGGCCCAAAAGGCCGTCAGACTTATGAACAACGCTTTGGTCGCTAAGCGTCCGGTGTTTGTCTCAGCAAAGAGTACGGCCGTCAGCACTGGTTATCCATTGGGCCGACACATGATAACCGGTCCACGAAATGGGAGGCAAACATTTGCAAAGAGATTGTATTAATGCCTTTGACTCGGAGTTAAATTCCGCACAACTCTATAACTCATTTCAAATATAACATAATATTTCTTACTTTTTTAAAACTATTTACTAATATATTTTTCAGATTTTTCTATTTAACACTTATTTTATCAGATGTTAACGTATTGTTTTGAAATTTATATATTTAACCACTTTTTGTCTTATTAAAATTTTGATTTAAAATAATTATATTATTTACCGGTATTAAGTTTTTGCAATAAACATTCATTCACTTATCTATTGGTTAAATATGTGTATTGAATATAATATCAATTAAATTTAATTTAAAGTTCTTATAATAGTATATCATATGATATGATTTATATCGTATACATAGTTTTCATAACTAGATTATGAATCAAAACCTATGATATAAACAAATCTCTGATAATTGTAAAAGTTTTTTAAAAGTTGGATTTACAGAAGAGTTTACTAAATTGTTTTATTAGACACCCAAAATTAGCCAGGTTTTTATAATACCTAATTTGTTAATCCATATGTTTTAGGCCATAAATTTGGTTTTAAATGAGATATTTTTTTTAAAAACTTCATAATAATAACTGCATTATTATTAAAGAAACAATATCCGCCTACAATTTTATACAAACGTCAAGTTTTTATTAATTTTTAAAAAATTAGTCTAATTATAAAACTTTAAAACATATTTATAAGAATTCCGCAATATTTGCATTTCAAGAATTAATTTTTAAAATCAGAATAAATATTGTTTCAAACATTAGGTGTAAAATATATAAGCGATTGAAACGACGGTTAATTCACAATAAAAATTATTAAAATTTATCATTAACTGTATATAACTTATAATACAGTTATTGATCTGAAGTAATCACGCGTTTCATAAAATTCTTGTCTTCAATTTCACTCATTTAGTGAATTATTGTCCAAAATATTTGCCATAAAAAGCAATTCAAAACAAAACAATACAAAATAATGTATCACATAATCAAATGTCAATCAATTAGTTCACGAATCGGAATACAA